TCACCCGCGTATGCGGCGCGGATCAACTCCGTCACTGACGACGTCACCGTCGTGACATGAGCAATCTCGTAATCCGGTCCGCGTCACAGCGCATTAGCCAAATCACTCTGCTTTCCTAGCTTATACTTCACCTCGAGTTTATATTCTGCGAAGAATTAGAGCCACCTGGCCATCTTCTGCGAGAGGTGAGGCGACTGAGTTGCAGTGCATGATCTGTGTAGATCACAAACGGCTTTAAGTCAAGACGGCGCATCTGACCTTGACAAGTGCATACACTTCATCGCAAGTAATTTCTTGTCATGGACTGGGCAGTTTCTCTCTGAAGCCTTAAGCTAGCGAGATTCGAACGTGATCACCGATCTCACCCCTCGGCGTATCCTTGCAGCAGTGCACAGCCGATGGCGAAGTCCGAAGCGTCAAAGAAGATACTGAAAGGACGTTCGGGGTATGGCAACGCCAGTATTGGTGCATGAAGGAGGCTGTGTTTGACCCAGTCAAAAGCATCCCGATGCTCGATGATCCGACACCATTCCGTATCTTTTTAAAGAGCATCGACAATGGACGTGTCATTTCCGCATAATTTGCGCTGGACTTGTGCAAGTAGTTGACGAGGCCTAGCCAGTTGCGCAAGTCGTTTGTTTTTTTTGAGCCAGCCAGTTCACAATGGCTTTGACCTTAGCGGGATGTGCTCGAAGGCCACGCTTTCCGATAAAAGACCCATAAAAGAAGATTTCTTCGGCGCCAAAAATGCATTTAGTGGCATTAGCATACCGTTATTCGTGCGTGGGCATCACCAGCCACTCCCAGAGCATCCCGCTCAGAGTACTCACCGCTTTCAGCGAAAGATTACTCGCTCTCATAAGCAATTGGTAATAACCACCAACCAAGTCCAGTGCGCTGTACTTTGTACAGCCAATCGTATTGTCCTGAAGAACCATCTATCTAGAAATTGGCGTTTTTGCTGGAATGGTGGCAGCGATTAGGTTATTATAGGCGTGACCGATATGCTACTTGTGGTTTGACTTCCGGACATTAAACGTGGGTGTCGAATGGGGAGACTTACTCTCACGCATTATTCCTGCGTCGTGCTTCACACGGAAAAAGGCGTCAATGACGTCGCACTGCTCCTTGGGCAGAGGCCGTGGGCGTATTACGCAGTATTTGGTTCCCGGAAAGC